TACTTATCTTTGATTATTTTTAAAGTCAAAAATTAATCTGCAAGATCTACTAAAATTCTTTTTTCTATTATTCTATACAGCAAGCATACAAGAAGGTAGCCAAGGAGTTGATCCTTATAATTCTCTTTCTAATCCCCAAGAAATATTGACAAATATTAGAGAAATATTTGGCAAAAAATGCTAAAGATTATATTGATAGTCTGGGTTGTAATGTGTGAATATCTATATTTACAGAGAAATATGTTCATCAGATTTATCATAAATTATATAAATCTATAAATTTTTTACTAATTATTTTTGTTTGATAATTTTAGATTAGGGCAAAATACCGCAGTAAATGCAATAACTATACTTTTACTGTCCAAAATATTATCTTTTTAATGTTTGGTGAAGAGAAGTTAGTAAGGATCAATAATAATACATCTGCTTTCTGTCTTGCTGAGTGGAAGAGGAGTGAGAAAACGCAAACTGCATATAAAAATCTCTTCCAAAATAATAAATTACTTACAAACATAGTACTCTAGTCATGGCAAAAAAAAGGTATCAGATCATGTAATTTCCAAAGATCACTGATTCATTACTTACGTTCAAGATTTCTGAAAGGATAGATTTTACTACAGCCAATCAAACAGAACTATTAATATAGCTAGTAGTTATTATTATAAGCTTTAATTACTTGCGTTAAATGACCATTTGAAGACTTCACATTATTTATATATTGGACAAAACTTGTCTTTGTGTGTTGTGTGTGAGTTTCCAAGATCTTGTTGGGTTTGGATGATTTTTTGGATATATTTTTTTTGTTTTTTTTTTAAGTTGTTGAGTTCTTATTTTTCTTGCTGTAAGTTTTCAAGTTTAATATTAGTGGATTTATTGGCATCAGCTTTTTCTTGATCTTTGCATTCTCTTTCGAGTTGTTCTTCAAAGATTTTGTGGGTGTTGGCAAGAGTGTGTTTTTTGACTAGATCGAGGATTTCATCAATTACAGTGAGGTAGATTTGGGTTTCTTGATAGATTTTTGATAGCTAATCAAATTATAAAATATTAGGACTATTAATACGTTTATAATAAAGGATTATTTATGTAAAGGATTGTTTACAAGTATAATATTTAATTTATTAAATTTTTTAATTTGTAAGTTAAAATATATTTTTAACATATATAAAAAACTAGAAGGAACCATCTATAGATTAAAAGAAATTATAATTAAAAATAAATCACTAAATTTAAAAGAAGTTATACTAAAAAAAACCTTACCGAATGATAGATGGCAATGAAAAGCAACTTTGCAATAAATTATTAATATAATGTAACTAAACGTATTAAAAAAACTGCACTGAATTCTTACTATATAATAAGCAGAAATAAATGACAACTTGCAAATTTAAATGGTTGTTAGTCTAAACTAATATAAATGCTTTAGATAAAGTATTATTAGCTTAAATTAAAACAAATATTGATTAAATTATACTAGAGACTTACCAAGTGATAGGTGATGATAAAGAACCACTTTCGGATTTAAATTATTTGTTAGCCAAACAAATCATGTAATTATCATAATATGCAGAATAAAGTGCAGTTAAAGTTGTTAAATATTTGTATTTATAAATCGAATAAACATCTTAACAAGAAATAAAATCTAAAATTTAATCCGTAAATAATTATCAAAATATTTATTTAATTTATAAATACAAATATTTGACAACTTTAGATGTTTTACACCAAATATCAGAGATTCTTTGACCCACATAATATAATTACACTATGTCCATTTTAATGTATTAAAATTAAATTATGATACTAGTAATTAAAAAAACCTTATTAGATAAGGATTTATATTATAATAAATATTTAAATCGACACCATGTAGATTTTCACCAAAAAGACTGGAAGAGTTGCAGGGATTTAAAGAGATTTTTTTAAAGGGGGTGGCATTATTATAGATAACTTAAAGACAAGAACGCGTAATATTATCCTTAAATGTGTATTATAAAACTTAAAAAAATAAATAATTCATATAAGATATTATTTCCTAATTATTAATAAAATTACTTGATGTAAGTAAAATAAATAAAGATATACCTTACCTCTTCTGATAGTTTCTGTTCAAGTCTTTCAAACAAAAATGTGTACTGGTTGCTATTCCACGAAGAAAATTATAGACTTTATTCACAGCCATGCAAATTATCAGTAATACAAACATGATACCTGTAATTGATACTATGAGAGATGCAAAAATAAAAGGCAAAGAGTGGATCCAGTATCAAGAAAAAAGGCGAGAATTTTGAAAACCATCCCTAAAAAGATAATCCAGAGTAATGATCCTTCAAGTAGTAATCCTCTGAGCAATGATAATGGCAATAGTAGCAATTCTTCAAGCAGTAGTAGTATTTCTTTGAGCAGTAGTAGCGATTCTTCAGACAGCAGCAATCTCTCAAACATCATTCATGTTTTTCAGATCAACAATAACTCGGATGATCTTGAGCCATTCCTTGAGCATGACAGAAGCTTCGAATAAATAAATAACTTACAAGTGGGAGATGATGTAGTCGATACTCAAAATAACCACTTCGATAATGATAATACTGAATTGCTCTATAATTTAGATAAAATAGAAGGATATATTAGTATAAAGTTTCAAGAATTAGAAAATGAAAATAAATCTATAAAAGAGATTTTTGAAATTGAATTAGATCCAATTTTTGCTGAATATATTTCTTGTGATCTTCAATCAGATATGATAAATTTAGAAAAAATCAAGAACAATTTCCGCCAACTTGCAAAGATTGTTATTATAGCTATCAAATCTGGATCCTATTATTACTAGAAAATACGTAATATATATCTAAACTATAGTAAAAAGAAATTCACTAGTTGTGCAACAATATATCTTGGATATGCATAACAAGAGAACCGTCAGTAGCAAAGATCAGAAGATCAGTCAGTTAAATGAAAAAGTGAAGCTCAAACTCTAATCGATAAGTATGCGTGTGAAGGAAAAATCTCACTTACAATTGATTCTCAACAACATCACGTCCTAGTCCAAGTACAGCATCTAATGCAATACCTGCATCCACAATATTGAAAAATACAGTTTCCTATAAAAGTGAGAGAGTGGATAAAGGAAAATATTGTGTATAATTTGCGAAGTCATGAATTTTACTGACGTCTTTGCAATGAAAGATATATTGATCCGGTGGTGCATATGAAAGAGCAAGTCTATTACTGGGTATCCATCTTTAGCAAGAAAATTTATGTCATAAATTCGGCTAACCAGATCTTATCAACAAAGGCATATCTCAAACAATCCAAATTCGCAACAAGAGGATTTAAAACAATATATTATCTCGAAAATGACTTTGTGAGAGCTCTTGGATTTATAACACCATTGCTCAATCATATTGATATTAAAAATATGAATGAGATTATTGTAGATTCTACATTTAAAATGAACCAAGAATGTTTTGAGCTTTTTGTTGTCAATGCTAATTGCGGTGAATATGGCATGCCATTAGCATACCTCTACCTTTTAACATCTGATAGCACTGACCAAGTATGTCATGATTTCAAGAATGAAGTTAATACGAGGTCACAAGCTCTTTGTAAGTTTTTTCTTGGTCTTTGACAAATAGGGTTGTTGCTAATATTTGCTCTTGTTGATAAGGATGCTGGAGAGATCTCAGCTATCAGTAAAGCATGGTCATGGGTCACCAATATTTAGTTGTGTTATTGGCATCTCGAATATGCCATAGACAGATGGTTAAAGGACAGAAAATCAAAAGCAAATGCATATTCTATAGCGAAAGCTACAGAGGCTCACCAACAGTTCAAGTTCATCGACTCTCACTGGATATCAAATAGAAATGATGGAATCCTGTGTCCAGATAGTTCTATTAAAGAACTTTTGGAAATGATAAAAAAATATGCAAATATATATTCGCTTATACCTATAGCACAGAATATTTTCTGGACTTCTGCCAAAATTTATCACAATTACGTAAAGAAGATTTACCAATTCTGCCATGTCCATAATCTTTCTAAGCTTTGGGGTTACCTGTGGATTAATTGGTACAACAAGAAAGATTGGAAGCTCTTTACCCAATCTGCATATCCAGTTGCCATACCACTAGTACGAACCACCATGATTATGGAAAGTCATTAGTAGATTCTTAAATATAATTACAAGTATAACTATAACAGGTCACGCCTTGACTGTCTTATCCAAATTATTGCAACACAATTAATTCCTGATTTTGAGATCAAAATAAATCAGTTTGATGATAATCAATCTTTTCCAGCATAATGGGAAGGTTTCAAAAAAGATTAGGATAAACTAGCAATCACCAAAACCCAATTGGATATGGATGAAACTTATCACATTAATGTAAAAAACTGGATATGCTCTTGCCCTGCATACTTATATAGTCATTATCTTATTTATAAACATCTCGTAACAAAAAAAGATGGTATTCATTTCTGGCCTACTTTCATAGAGACAACATACTGACATGATTACCCTTTACTTGTCTTTGGAAAAGATAAGGTACCAACAATAAATTCAGTGAACAATGCTTGAGTTACATACAGAATGATCATGATAGATATTCCTATTGGTGAAGACAGCTCTAATATTGATAACTCAATAGTAAAGCATGACATTATTGAGGAAAGATGGAAAAAGCTTTCTGAATATAAAAAAATAATGAATAATGTATTAGAATTATATGAATGAGAGATTGATAATAACAAATTTATAGACATTTTTGATGGCTTGATGAAACCATTAGTGAAGGAAGTTAATGAGTGTCAGGAAGTATTACAAGCTCATAGTCAACAGAAAATCTGGAAGTCAAATGGAAAGCTTGCATTTTGGTTACATTAGTTTATAGTAAAATATATAATTAAATATAATTACTATCCTCATTATCAAATCCATTGTTCTAGATATATACTCTGGAAGATATGCTTCATATAGAATCCAATATAATTCTTATAACGTGAAAAATAATTATAATATATCTTGCTTATAAGCTAACCAAGAAATCTAAATCCACCTCGCTATAATTGACAAAATCCTTGACCTAGTCAAAAAACACACTCTTGCCAATGCCCACAAAATCTTTGAAGAACAACTCAAAAGAGAATGCAAAAATCAAGAAAAAGCTGATGTCAATAAATCCACTAACATTAAACTCGAAAACTTACAGCAAGAAAAATAAGAACTCAACAACTTAAAAAAAAAACAAAAAAAATATATCCAAAAAATCACTCAAACCCAACAAGATCTTGGAAACCCACACACAACACACAAAGACAAGTTTTGTCTAATATATAAATAATGTAAAGTCTTCAAATGGTCATTTAATATAAGCAATTAAAGCTTATAATAATAACTACTAGCTATATCAATAGTTCTGTTTAATTAGTTGCAGCAAAATTTATCCTTTTGAAAATCTCAGATGTAAGTAATGGATTAGTGATCTTCGGAAATCACATGATCTGACACCTTTTTTTTTGCCATGGCTAGGGTATTATATAAATATCAATTACATAATATTTAAGGAATATAAAGAGAAAGCGTTGTTATTGATGTATTGCGTATTTATCCTAGCCATCTGTGATATTCTTCTCAGTCTGTCAAGTCCAGAAATCAAATGCAAAGATAGATTGATAGCAAGGTGTGTACATATATTTATGGTAAGTAATACTTTGAATTTGCTTAAAGTTTGCATTAAAAATTATTCATATAATAGATATTTAGCAAGCTATGGAAAACAACTAGCCAGCAATGCCAGAAATGATAGTAGAGATAGTAGAAAAAGAAATTGAAGAGGTAGAGCAAGCAGCAAAGAAAAAACACCAAAAGTCATGGGCTAAGAATATGATTGAAGAAGATGATAATGAGAAAGATGATGACTATGAAAATTTTGTAAGTTTCTTTAATACTCTTTGCAATTTGTTTCTTTGAAGTCTTTAAAAAAACTAATTTTTTATTCAAAAGGTCACCAACTTGGATCGTGAATTTATATAATATAGTTTTCTTTAAATTTGTATTTTATTATATATATAATTTACAATAAAATAAATATCTTTACTATTATTTAACCTATGAATTCTACAGTTACTTGAAATTACTATTACTACTTGAAACTGATATTACAAAGTTTTGCACAGAATTTTAAAAAAAAAATTAAAAAATCTGTGCAGATTTATATTTTGTTACAGATTTGTGCAGATTTTTTAATTTTTTTTTCTTTATTAATTATCACCAGATTTGAAGTTTTACACAGATTTTGGATTTGAAGATCTGTGTAAAATTGTGCTCTCAAAAATTTTCTGATAATTTATAATTATATTAAATATAATGAAGATATAGAGAAAAAAAAATTTTCTTCTCTATCTCATGAATAAAGACAAACTACTTTTTATGAAAGATAAATTAATAACTTATAAAAAGAATTAGCTATTACAGAAGAAATACTAAAAATTAAAAAAGAAAAAGTAGTTAAGTTTTAAGAAAAGTCTGAAAAGTAAAATAAAAAATAAAAATAAGAGTTATTAGATAAAATAAAAAGTTTAAAAAAAATTAAGTAATTAGAAGAGAAAAATAAATTATTAAAAGAATAATAAAATAATTAAATTGCTTAAATTAAAATTAAAAAAACTAAAAAATAATCTTGATTAAAAATAAAAAAGTAATTTGAAAATATTTTTTATTTATTTAAATTAAAATTTATTTTAATAATTAATAAAATAATTATTTTTTTTAGTATTAAATAAATTAAATATCTAATTTTTATTGATAATTATTAAAAAAATAAATATTTACTTTATATCTCTAACTTTTATCTCTTTCTTGATTTATTATAAGTTAGGATTAATATTTATTTATTAATGATAATTTTTCTTATTTCTTGATAAATTTTATGAATAATTTTTTCTTTATCTAGATATTTTTGAAATATTTAGATATTATTAATTTTAAAAATATAAGATACAATTTTTTTCTTGAGTTTTTTTTAGAATATTTCTAATAGTATTATAATTTTTTAATTTCATAATGAATTTAATATAAATTAATTTTATTTAAAATTATTTGGTTAATAATTATAAATAAGATAAAATATAATATGAATAGTTTTAATTTTATAACTTATAATTATTTTTATTATTTAAAAGTATTTAGATCTGAAGAGAAATTATAGAATGGATAGATCTTATTTATAATAAAAAAATAAATATAAAAAATAAATAAATTAATAATAATTTATTTTTAAAATATATATAGAATGAATTAACTTAATTTATATCTTTAGAAAACTACTAATTATAATTTAATAAATAATAATAATTATAAATATAATAAATTAAATATAAATAATAATAAATAAAGAATGAGTAAAAATAATAAGAAAATATTAATAATATATATGATTAAAAATATTAATAATTTAAATTAATAATTATGATATATATGATAATTATTTACATGATAATATATTAAATCTAATATATTAA